TATAATCCTTATTTTCAAATATTATCATATTAAATTTTATTTAAATATTTTAAATAATTAAAAAAGTAGATCAGAGATCTATTTATAGTAATTATGCAGGCAAATTTGCCTGCAAATCTCTACTAATTAAGGGATAGAGTCATATGCTTTTCACATATCTTGAAACATCAACTATATTTCCTTTTTCTTCTCTTTTGTTTCTTTTAAAAGACAGTTTATTAGATGCACAGATGCCGCAGTGCCCTTTCCTAGTAGGCTAGCAAAATTTCTACATTTTAAAACCTTTTTTTCCCTTATTACTTTTGCTAAACTATTTATTACTATTTTTACTACTGTTTTTTGAAAGAATTCTAGTAGCAAGATTGGGCATATATTGTTCAGATTATAGCACCATTCTTCTGTTTTCAGTATTGGGTACAAGATTTCAAGCTTCCATTTCTTCGGCATTGTATCATTTTTGATACACTTTGTAGCAAAATTATGAAATACAGAGTTTGCATGTCCTCCTGCTCTCTTGATTAAAGGGTAGGTAATATCAGATATATCTGAAGCTGACTTGGCTTTTGCTTGTGCCAGAACTACGTCTCATTCTGCTTCACTAATCTCACTTGTAATATCTGCAAACCAGGTCTCATCTATATCCTCTTTTGGAATATACTGTCTTTTCCACTTTGGAGGTAGCTTGTTAGGGTTTATTATATTTCTTTTGTGAAATTGCTTTGCAAAGTGATTTCTAACCTCTTCTAAAATCTCAGTTGGCTTATAGATTAGCTCTGGTTCCCCTTCATTGTCCTTGACTACTCTATCTATTTTTATTTTTTTTGCTCAGGTGGTCTAAAATAATATTCGGCATTTTTCTTTAATTTGACACAATTAGACTATGTTTTTTTTCTATGCAGTTTCTTACTGCTATTTCCTCTGCTTTTTTAATTTTTTGTTTTCATTCTTTATGTATAATTTTGGCTCAGCTTCTAAGATTTTCTATATTTACAATATCTAACCTATCTAATGAATCTACATCTATAATTGATTTAATCTGTTCTAATACTGTTTTTTTTTTCTCTAAGCTTAATGTGTCTTTTTTACTCTTGCAGTAACTTTTAGTATATGCTTTAACAGCTAGTCTTAGTGCACGTATTTCTTTGTTCTCTTTGCTAATCTGCTGAATCTCAGAAGTTTTTTTCTTTTTGGAAAACTTTTGTTTACTGCCATTCTGATGTAGCTTTCTATGATATCCCACTTTTTGTCGAGTTCTTTGGGCTTGTTTTTGCAGCAATGGTCTTTTAGTTTTTTGTCAAGTATTTTTTGAAATTTTTCTTATTCTTCTTTAAAGGCCTTACTTATATTAATATTCATCCTTTTTTTGTATAAACATTTCTAATTGGCAGGTTTTACATTTCTAATTTCCAGGCTAGTAAGAATGCATGTACATATAAGCTTATGATCACTTCCAGTGCAGATTGATATATCATCTACTTTGGTACTAACTATATTGCTTTCCACTGATTTGAGACCCATATGTAGTCAATTCAGGCCTCTGTGTTACTGTTCGACCACGTTGATATTTATAAAGACTCTCTTGTATATCGAGGAACTGCCTCTTTTTGAGCACTTGTATTATTCTTCTCTTGAGATTTGTAATGCATTTTGTACTTGTACTAGTAGAATTATCACTTGCAGATTCTTCTATATTTGTATTTAAATCACCTAGTACCATGTATCATTGTGGTTTTCTTTTGTGTTGGCATATACTATATTTGAGTTTTTGTAATATTTCTTCTTGTACTGTCTTATCGTTTGGAGCTACGTATATGTATATGATATTAATTGTAATACCTCTGAAATCTAACACCAGGCTCAAAAAGTATGGGTTGTCTCTGCTTTGTGAAGTAATATGCTGCTTCTATCTTTTTTTGATAAGAACCCAAGTCCAGATCCTTTCTTCTTATTTTCATCAGAGTCTGTCCATATACTAACGTATGAATTATTGTTGTTTGTTGCAAAGAAACCCTAATATTTGTTTCTTCTAACCCAAGCATATCTATCCTTTTCTTCTCTGCGTAATTTAAAATTGCTCTCAACTTGTTCTTATTGTTCTTTATACCATTAATATTGTAAAACCCAATATTCATTATACAGAATTGTCCTTTTTACTTTCTGTTCCCTGCCCAACTTCTTCTTCTAGAGACTTACTTTACCTTCTCTTTCACCTTTTTTATTTCTCTTAGAAGAATTCATTCTTGCGTCTGAGATGCCTTTAGAAGCGATTCGCAAGAACTACTTTTGTGAATTGTTTGAAATGAACTACTTTGGTCTTCTAATTTGTTAAGTCTACCCAAAATTTGTAGCAGCATGCTGTGAACTGAGTCCTTGTAAGTTTGTTGCTTCTTATTTGCCCCCTCTCTATTATTTCTGGAGTTAGGCTTCATATACTCTTTGTTTTTGTTTTCTTTGTCTAATGGATACCTAGGTAAACTTGAGTTGTCAATTGTTTTATTTTTGTTGGCCTTATTTGATATATATGGATTCTCTTTCCTCTCCCCTATACTACTCTCTTTTGAGTTGGTTGGACTATTTGTTGCACTTTCCCTATTGTTTATTGAACCATTTTTAGAATCTTTTTTTATACTATCTAATACACCCCAATAGAGTTTTGTATTGTAGTAGTACATTCTCTTCGTAAGAGCTACTATGAGCTTCTCTTCTGACTTGAAGAACACTGAGGCTGTGTTTCTTTGATTTTTATTGCGATTATGTAAGATATATACTACTTGTACTTTTACTGGTTTTAGCTATTTTAGTAGCATCGTTTTCAGAGCTGTCTTAGAGATGTTTTTTAAAACCGCTTTGTATTTTCCTCTCTCATCTAATATACTTCTGTTGAATACCCCTTTAGAGAGTCTTAGCATTTTTCTTTTTTTAAAATGTATGGCCCAAGCTTTAGTAAATAGAGCTTTTCTTCTTTCATTTCAAAAAATTATGCTGAATGAGACAGCTTTCTTTGCTTCTAGAAATTCCCAGTGCCTAAATTGCACTTGATTATAAAAATGTAGACATCTTCGCATTCTTATTGTCTTGACTTCTGCTGGTATATCTCATAGAGTATACCATGTTTTCGGAGCTTCTGTGTTTTTTTCTATTTTCTTTGTAGTTTCTTTGGTATTATCTCTCTCCTCTTCATTCTGGGCTTTTATATTTATCCCTTTACTGGCTGTGAGTTTTGTATTTTGTACAATTAAAATAAATATTATTTTAGCTAAGTTCTCTTCTTTTTTTTTACAGATTTTTTTAATATCTCTTTT